CGACCGAGAGGGGAGGAGCCGCGCAGGTGTTCCCCCCTGCCCCCCGACGAGCATCCCAAATCCAGGGAGGGGACCCTGGTGACCTCTCCTCCCAGCCACCGCTCCCTTCACCCTTTCTTCTCTGTCTCGGTGGACCTTGGACCGTGGAGGATTCCGGGGATGCCTTTGGGAGCTGACATCAATGGGTAGATGGAAGTGGTTCTATAAAGCAGGTGAGTTTGGGGCGAGGGCAGTTGCCTACCCATCTCAGTGAGGCTGCGGGACGTGCAAAGCTCAAAACTCAGGGCCGCAGTGCCCCCAGATTCCCTGCGCGATGCGTGTCTCGGGCGCTCGGGGAAACCACTGCGTAGACCTTGCTCCAGGATCAGGATAGCGGGAGAGCACATTCACTTCTCTCGGAAAACGATGCTTCCAGGGCCAAGCCCCTGGAGCAATTTCCAGCGCTCCCCACGGTGGTGGTTCCAGGGTGGCCCGGATTAGCGCCTGCAACCTATGGCCAGGAACCCGACTCCTGGGAGAATTCAGTCCGGGCTTAACTCTGGCCAGCTAGAAAGGAAGCGTTAGATTTCCTCTGGATTTGGGATGTTTGATGCTTTAATTGAGATTTCCCCTTTTCCCCCTAGGGGTAAGGCAACAAAGGCCTTAAAAGGTCTTCTGGTATCTCTCTCTTTCTCTCTTTGAATCCTTTCGTTTACTAGGACTTACCTAAAATAGATGGACACTCCCTCACAATTGACATATTTTTCATTTTCCCCAGTACCCTTTTAGTTCTTACTACTCTGCTTCTGCCTCATGGGGGAGGCACACTTATTGGAAGTTGCTCTGCACAGATGGAGTTCTGCCCTGGCTATGCCATCCAGTGCCCCTGCACTTGGCAAACCCAGGGTTAGGATGGGCCATGAAGGAGGAGCTGTGGATTGGTCTCCAGTTGTGATATTTGTATGAATGGGCTTATGTTTTGTCAGATCCAGACAAGTTTGATTTTCCTCTGCTGTCTTTGGAAGGGTTTCTACATAGGAACCACTAAATGGCGAAGATGCCAATGAGTGGAGAATTCTCTTTGTAAGGGTTTGTACTATTAACAAATATTTATTAATTATGGACCTAGTATATGCTAGACACTGTGGCATATCCTTCCAAATATCCATCCATCCATCCATCCATCCATCCATCCATCCACCCATCCACCTTTTCAACAAATATTGCCTGTCATGGACTAGTGTTTTCAACAGGGGAAGACAAATGAGACCTAGCCCAGTGTGGAGATGCAGTCTGGTGGTCTCTGTGGAAGAAGGAAGGTGTGAAACTTATCCGCCACTTGGAAAAAAAAACAAGTACAGTGACAGGCCCAGGCAGTGAATGGTGTGCCCTCTGAGAGCTGTGCCTGTTCATAGGAGGAACTAAGATCTAGTTTGGAATGACCAGAAAACGTGTCACAGAGAAGATAGGATCTGCTGTGCATCTTGGACATTGGGGAGGATTTATCATGGTATAGGTGAAGGCTTGTCTTGCCGAGGGAAGGAGAGCGATGGTCACAGATGTTTCAAGCCGAGCACAAGCTTGGTGTGTTTGGGGTTGAAGGTAGTTTACCTGGGATGGTGGGTTATTGTTGGGGGTTTGGGATTATTGTCAGGCCTGCTCAAACTATGGAAGGCACTGAATGGTGGCCTAAGGAGTTTGGGGTTTTTTTTTGTTTGTTGTTTTGTTTTTTGACAATGGGAAGCCACTGAAGGGGCTTTCTGCAGTGTAAAGGTAAGTAGAAAGTGTGACTTAGAAAGGCCGTGGTGTCCCGGATATATTGGATAGGGAAGCAGGTTAGAAGCAGTGCTACAATATTCATGGTGTGGGGAACTTTGGTGGTCCCATGCAGGTGGAGAAGAGGGCACCTCATTCAAGGGTATGTTGTACGGCTGGATTTGGGGAGGGAGAGAGCACAGAGGCATAAGTAATTAGATCCTGGAACATTTTTCCTTTCCCCTACTGCCTTCTGATTTTCCTTCCATTTTTGTATTTATTCCTCTATTCTGCTTGCAAGGGAAGATGTAGTAGGCAGCCTCTAAGATGACCACAGTGATCCCCACATCCTGGTATCTATGCCCTCATGTGAGCCCCTCCCCTTCCACATGGGCCGGACCTAGTAACTTGCAGCTAAACAAATAGGATATAGCGTGACACTTCCAAGGCTACGTTACAAAATGACTGTGGCTTCTGTCTTATTCACTCCTGCTGTCACTGGCTGGCTCCAAGGAAGACCACTGCCATCTTGTGAGGTGCCCTAGGGGGAGGCACATGTGGCAGGGAACTGAAGGAGGCCTCTGGCCAACAGTCAGTGAGGAACTGAGGCTCGTGGTCCAACAGCCCACGAGGTACTAAATCCTGTCAATAGCCATGTCGAGTGAGTTTGGGAACACATTTTTCTCTAGTCAAGCCTTGAGATGAGACCACAGCCCTGCCCACGCATGAGAGACCTTGGGGCAGAGGCCCCCAGTCAAGTCTGTGTTCCTGTGTTCCTGTGTTCCTGACTGCCTTAAACTATGAGATAATTGGTGTTTGTTGTTTTAAGTTGTTAAGTTCTGGGGTAACTTGTTACATAGCAATACATAACTCATACACAACGGTTTGGGTATAAAGTGTTTAGTGTTATCCTTGCCAGCTTAGTGGGACTGGTTTACTCTAGTGTCTCCTATGCTGAATTTTGTAATTTACCTTTATCTCCGGGTATTCAAGTTTTGGCTATTTCTTTATTTTCATTTTATTTATTTACTTATTTTTAATTTGAGAGAGAGCATGCATGAGCAGGGGAGGGACGGTGGGGGGGGGGGGGGGGGGTAGGGAGAGAGGGAGAATCTTTAGCAGGCTCCACACTCGGTGCAGAGCCTGATGCAGGGCTCAATTCCAAGACCCTGGGATCATGACCTGAGCCAAAATAAGAGTCGGGCGCTCCACCAGCTGAGCCACCCAGGCACCCCAAGTTTTTCTTATTTAAACTCAATCACTACTTTATGGAAAGAATTGTACAATGACAACAAGGTCATGATGTAACTGTTGGAAACAAATCTTCACTGAGAGCAATGCTACCACACTGATGGCCATTACAGTCCATCCTTGAGGTGTGTGGAGGGTAAATTGATGAAGGGACTCAAGCCCAGTGGTTGGG